TACAGATCATAGGGGTCCTTATCAGTGGTCTGTCTATCAGGCTGAGGTAGTTCAGCTCCCTTCAGAATAAAATACAACTTGGAATATTACATGTACACATATGTATGCACATAAAAGATGCAGTAGACTGAAACATTCCAAAAAAACTAACACATAGAAAATTAAGTAGTTGAGGGGCCAGCCGGTAACATGGTGGTTAAGGCAGATGGACCCCACTTGGTTGACTGTGTGGTTTGAATCCTGGACCCGGTGGACTAAGAAATATGCCAGGCATGTATGTGTACATGCCCCAAATCCCAAAAGTCGGGAGAAATGGGGGAGAAGGGATCGCAGCATGACCATCCCCCACAGAGGGGGCTTTCTATAGGGCGGGCACCACCATGCCCCAGAGGGGGCTTTCTTACTCCCTCCTGCTCCATCTCTTCTGGCAAGCACACACACTCTCTGGCAAAATTATTTTTTAAATAAAATAATTATAAGAAAAAAAAGTACAGAGTTGAAACCAGTCCCCGAACGAGCAAGAAGAATAAAGCAAAGAAGGGGTCAGGCAGTGGCCTAGTGCCTAAACAGGCGGCTGATCTCACATGGCTGACGATGCAATTTCAGTTGCAGACACAGCAGCTTGAAAAATATACAGGGTATGTGTGTGTGTACGCATCCAGAATCCTGAAACGGGAGTGGAGGAGAAGGGACTGCAACATGGTCATCCCCGTGGGGGGGTGCTTTCTCCCTTTTTCTGTCTCTCCCTCTCTTCCCCCCTCCCTCCCAGGCAAGCGCAGGTGCCCTCAGAGTAAAATTTTTAAAAATAAACAAGAAAAGGGGGAGAAAGGGGAGACCAGTAACAGCTCTTGTTCTTTTACATGAAGAGTTTAGAATGAATTTCCCACTTAAACAAAAGTGATTTTTTTCCGCCTAAAGTTACTGCCTTCATGGTCAGCCTTGTAGCCTAATGGTTATGGGAGGTGGATCCCACAGGGCTGCTCAAATCCCGGTCCAGTGGCCTGAGAAACATGCCAGGCATGCTGGATCTGGCTGATGAACAAATATATTCACTTTCTGGCAATTAAAAAAAAAGAGAGAGAGTGTGTCTTCAGCCTGTGTAATAACAGACCTTCAAAACTTAATTTTTTTTTAAGTTTTTGCCATAGCGTGCATGTGCTTGCTGAGGAGACACAGTGAGAAGGAGAGTGAGAAATCACCATCCAGGGGTCTGGCCAGGCCACAATCCCTTCTCCATTTTTCTCCTAGGATTTTGGGCACACATACACATACGCCTGGTGTGAGTTTCAAGCTGCCAAGTCTGGGACTCAAACTGCAGTCAGCCATGTGGGGGTCCCACACCTTAACCTCCACACCACCTGATGGCTCCCAGACATTAAAACTTTCAAACACAGATCTCTGAAAAAAGATTTGTCATGGGAACCAGCAGTTAGCGTAATGGTTATGTTGCTGGACTCCCACGTAGTCGACTGCGGTTTGCGTCCCAGACCCGGTGGCTTAAAACTCACGCCGGGCGCGTGTGCGTGCATGCCCAAGATCCCGAGAGGAGAATGGAGGAGAAGGGATTGCGGCGTGACCATCCCCCCTGGGGGGTGATTTCTCGCTTTCTGTCTCTATGTCTCTCTCTGTCTGTCGGGCGAGCGCACACGCCCTATAGTGAAAACCTCTCAAAAAAAAAAAGATTTGTCATGAAGAGACCTGACTTTGATATGCAACCAACTTAAAAATAACTATATAACTATCTGGAGCTTAGAAAAAATGTTCATTCAAACCAGTTTTCTTCTTTTTTTCCCCCAAAACATAACGTGAGTAAAAAGATACCAATTTTTCCTGTAGATGATGAAAGGAACTCTAAAGCCACAGTAATTTAAAAAAAAACAAAAAGAACAAGATGATATTCCTCAGAGAGTGTACAATATCCCAGTAAGGTTAGAATTAACACTGAGATAAAGAGATTGAAATGGTTTGCACAAGTCCAAGTTTGTATTAAAGTTGAAAACAGAATTGTTGGCCCATTTCGCTCAGTTACTTTCTTCTCAGCTCCAACAGCTTTTACAAGGGTTTTATTTGTTTGTTTTGTTTGCTTGTTTTCGTTTTTTGACCAAGCAGCGCATGTCCTTCTTCAAATCTTACACATAACTTCAATATGTAAAATACAGAAAGGACTAGGTGCTCTGGGTTAAGAGGATACTGGTCCTAATGAGCCCCGTCCCCTCAGTCAGCTCCTCTCCTGCCAGGCCCTACTGCACCTCAGTGCTTAAAGCTCCAGGAAACACTTTTTTCTTTCTGTCTGTCTGTCTTTCTGTCTGTCTTTCTGTCTGTCTGTCTTTCTGTCTGTCTGTCTGTCTTTCTGTCTGTCTTTCTGCCTGTCTGTCTGTCTTTCTGTCTTTCTGTTTTTCTGTCTTTCTGTCTTTCTTTCTGTCTGTCTTTCTGTCTTTGTCTTTCTTTCTGTCTGTCTTTCTATCTGTCTCTGTGTCTTTCTCGCTGTCTTTGTCTTTCTTTCTTTCTGTCTTTCTGTCTTTCTCTCTTTCTTTCTCTCTCTCTTTCTTTATTTCTTTCAGAATTATTTAACTTTTATTTAAATTGACCAGAGAGGGACAGAGCAAGAGTGAGAGGGAAAGTGAGAAAGCAAGCCACCAGGCCCAGGACTTGAACCCGTGGTTGGTCATGTGGGAGTCCAGCACCCTTAACCACCACACCACCTGCTGGCCCCTTCAGGAAACATTTCTTGAAAAACACTGCTATAAATTCAAATTCCCATTTAAATTTTACTTCCTGATACCCAGATCCTTCTCATTACATTAATTATTTTCTTTTTTAAAAAAATTATTTATTTAATTTTATTTATTCATTCATTTATTTTAATCGACCAGAAAGACAAGAGAGAGGGAGAGAGAGAGGGAAAGTAAGAAAGCAAGCCACTAGGTCTGGGACTCCAACCATGGTTGGCCATGTGGGAATGTCCAGTGCCTTAACCACCACGTCACCTGCTGGCCCCCTCTCTACATTTATTTTTAAATTTCTCTGTACATGGGGGCCAAGTGCTGGACTCCCGCATGACCAAATGCAGTCTGAGTCCAGACCTGCCAGCTTACTTTCTAACTTTCTCTCTCTCTCCCTTTCTCTGGTGAGTACATGTGCCCTATAGCAAAATTTAAAAATAATAACAGTAAATAAAATAATTCTTTAAAAAATTTCTTTGTATATGAGGTTAAGAAAATCCAAACATTTTATTTTATTGCCTCAGTATAATTAGAAGTTTTACATTTACTCATTTCACTAGAATATGCAAAAACAAACTGAAGTCTCGTAAAGCCCAAATTGTTTCCTTCTAACAAAAGAGAAACTATAAACTTTGCCTACGTGAAAATAAAGAATTAGGGGTTGGCAGGTGGTATGGTGGTAAAGGGTGCAGGACTCCCACATGGCCAACCACAGTTCAAGTCCCAGATCTGGCATCTTGCTTTCTCACTTTCCCTCTCTCTCACTCTCTCTCTCACTCTGTCCCTCTCTGGTCAAATTAAAATAAATAAATAAAGTTAAATAAAATAATTCTTAAAAAGAAAATAAAGAATTACCTTCCTACAGCAGTGATTTAGCATCTGAATTTCAGCTTTTAGTGAAAAGTAGTTTTCATTTCTGCTTTATAAAGTTGTTACTCTTCATTAAGACAAATATGTTTTTCAGACCAGTTCCTTAATAATTCTCAAAAAAGAATTAGGGGAAATTGATTTTTAAAATTTACAGTAAGCTACTTGGTTCTACTTTAATATATTTCCATTATCCCCCAGGGAGATGGCCATGCCACAATCCCTCCTCTCTTATTCTCCTCTTGGGATTTTTCTGGGACATGTGCACACAACATAGCCGGTGTGAGTCTCAGACCACCAGGTCTAGGACTCGAACCACAGTTGCCCATGTGGGAGTCTACCGCCTTAACCACTACACCACCCACTCAGTCCGATTATCCTTTCCTTAAATTCACAGGAGAATGCGTGCATACATGAGGAAGAGCGAGGGAAGGAGGAAAGTAAGGAGGCAGGGAGGGACGCACCCTCCAGCGCAGTCAGCCACACCCCGACCCCCGCCAGCCTTCTAGGCCACCAGCACCCTGGGCTCACCTGGCGTGTTCTCGGGCTGGGGTGAAGACTCAGCTAACTGCAGCTGGCATGCAGCTTCCATGCCCCATAGTGTGCTGTGCTAGCAAACATGCCACGGGTGCTAGGCCTATGCTTTCATTATCACTAGCTCCTGGCCTTTGACTTTCCTGTGGTCAGAGCCATCACTGAGACAAGCGCAGCCCTGTGCGAGCCATCACTGAGGGAACGCAACCCCAGAGTGGAGCAGCGCCTGGTATAGACACAACGTCAAGGACAGAGATCTAAAACACAGATGCGATCGTAATCACAGGACGATGCACACGGCCCTCACCGTGTTCTCTCTGCAGGCCACTAGGGCATATGGTATAACATATGGGGCAGTCAAAAGTGGTCAGCACAAGTGGAACTGCTTGTATTTCAATTCAGTAAGAGCGCTTGTGAAAATCTGGAAGGTCGACATGTAAATAGAAATTATGAAATCTATCTTGGGATAGCTAAATCACTGTGTTAATAAAAAGTTGTCATTTAAAACATAAACAGATGCTTGGGAAAGCAAAAGAAAAAAATGTGAAGAAAAGTGAGAGAAGGGACACTGTTCACCTAAAACAAAGCCTTAACCAATCCAGCGCTGGGAGAAGTCCAGACTACCAGAGACGCGCTCCCCGCTCGGCCACGGTAACTCACTGGCTGAGGAGCGTCTGCGCTGCTCTGTGCAGGGGCTCTTTCAGGTCCTGGGACACTTTTCCTCCGAGGTGGGCCAGGCAGTCCTCTATGGAGCTTTCCGGGTTAGCAGGGCTGAACACTGGAGAGGTGTGCCGGTCAAAGCCTGTGCTGGTAAAGGCTACAGACAGGGCAGAGGAAAATCCCAATTTATTTTTCATTTTTACTGTTTAAAAAACATTTATTTATTTGTTTGTTTGTTGTGACTTTCAAGCTGCCAGGTCTGGGACTTGAACCACAGTCAAGCATGTGGGAATCCAGTGCCTTAACCACCACGCCACTGCTGGCCCCACAAGATCCTAAATTAATATGCAATGTCAAAAGTTGTGCTATAGGGGAATCAGCAGTTAGTGTAATGGCTATGTCGCTGGACTCCCACGTAGTCGACCATGGTTTGTGTCCCAGACCCGGTGGCTTAAAACACACGCAGGGCGTGTGTGTGTGCATACCCAAGATCCCGAGAGGAGAACGGAGGAGAAGGGATTGCAGCATGGCCATCCTCCCTGGGGGGTGATTTCTCGCTTTCTGTCTCTCCGTCTCTCTCTGTCTTTCTGGCACGTGCCCTATAGTAAAAACCTCTCCAAAAAAAATAGATAAAAGAATTTTAAAAAGGAGACTAACATTAAGTTTCTGAACTATTTATAAATTTCTATTCAAATACCTTCTCTACTAACAGGAAAGAGATTTATAAATACAATTTGTAATTTAGCTTATTAAAACTTATTGGGCTGGTCCCAGCCTCAGGAGTGCATGCAGGAAGGTTCCACTACATGCAGTGAGAGCCATATTAAAGGCCCAAGTTGGGATCCCAGACTTGGGCAGACTGGCCAGTAGCATGCGCCTGTAACTCTCGCTAAGCAGGAAGCTAGAGTGGAAGATCACAGCAGATCTTGTCAAGAGTGTTTATCTCAGGCCAGCTGGGTGTAGTGGTTACAGTGGCTAGGTCCCACATGGCCAACAGCACAGTTCAAGTCCCAGATCCAGTAGCCTGAAAAGCACATTGGCTGCATGCACATGCATGACGAAAGTAACAGCGAAGAGAATGAGGAGAAGGGATTATGGTGTGCCCATCCCCCAGGGAGGTGCTTTCTTTCTAACAAGTTCACGCAATCTATAGCAAATTTAAAAAAAAAAAGTTAAGATCACCTATCTCTCTCTTCTCCTATTTAAGCTTTCTCTTATACTAAAAAGAAACAGATATTGTGTAATATACATCCACACAAAAACCTATATAAGACCATTTCTAGCAATGTAATACGTAATAGACAAAAGTGGAAACAACCGACATGTCTATTGATGGATGACCAGATAAACAAAATGTGGTATATCCACACAATGCAGTATCACTCAAGTATAAAAAACAGTGAAGCACTTTGTCCCTATCTGCTACAACAGAGGATCATTGGAAACCATGCTAAGTAAAAGACACCAGTCACAAAAGACCAGATGGCACACGATTCTACTTCGATGTGTGTGCGGAACAGGGAAATCCACAGAAGCATAAAGTGATTCAGGTTACCTTGGTGGGGGGTGGGGCACGGAAGAGAGGGAATGAGATGGGAAGTGACTACTAACACATACATACACCTTTCATTATGAAAGTTGAAAGTAATCCAAATTTAGACTGTGGAGTTCACTGTACCAGTCTATGAACAAATTCTCAAACCCACTAAAGTGTGCTTTTTAAATGGGTGAATCGGGACCAGTTAGGGGCATACTGGTTAACAGAGCTGGACCCCACGTAGTTGACTGCACGGTTCAAGTCCTGACCTGACGACCTGAAGCACACTGGGCACATGTCCATGAATGCCCAAAGCCCCAAGAGCGGAGGAGAAGGGATTGCGTCATAGCCATGGAGGGTGCTTTCTTACTTTCTCTGTCTCTCCCTTTCTCTCCACCCTGGCCAGCACAAGCACCTTATGGCAAATTAAAAATTAATAAATAAAGGGACCAGCAGTTAGCGTAATGGCTATGTCGCTGGACTCCCACATAGTCGACTGCGGATCGAGTCCCGGACTCGGTGGCTTAGGTGCGTGTGCATGCATGCCCAAGATCCCAAGAGGAGAACGGAGGAGAGGGGATTGCAGCGTGGCCATCCCCCCTGGGGGATGATTTCTCTCTCTTTCTGTCTCTCTGTCTCTGTCTCTGTCTGGTGAGCGCACACACCCTATAGCAAAAACCTCTAAAATAAATAAATAAATAAATAAATAAATAAATAAATAAATAAATGAAATGGTTGAATTTTATGGCACATGAACTATATATACTTCTCTCTGTTTTTTAAATAATTATTTATTTATTTAATTCTATTTGTTATTGTTATTTTTCAATTTGACCAGAGAAACAGAGAGAAAGGGAAAGGGAGAAAGCAAGTTGCCAGATCCAAGACTTGAACCATGACCTGGGACAAGCAGATGGCGTAGTGGTTACATTGCTGGACTCCCATGTAGTCGACCACAGTCTGAGTCCCAGATCTGGGAGCTTAAACTCACGCCAGGCACATGTGCGTGCATGCCCAAGATCCTGAGAGGAGAGTGGAGGAGAAGGGATTGTGGCATGGTCATCCCCCTGGGGAGGAGGGTGATTTCTCGCTTTCCGTCAAACACACATACCCTATAGCAAAAACCTCTCTTAAAAAAAGAAAAGTCTACATCTAGGGACCAGCAGTTAGCGTAATGGTTATGTCGCTGGACTCCCATGTAGTTGACCGCGGTTCACGTCCCGGACCCAGTGGCTTAAAACTCACGCCGGGCACGTGTGCGTGCATGCCCAAGATCCCGAGAGGAAAATGGAGGAGAAGGGAATGTGGCATGGCCATCCCCCCTGGGGGATGATTTCTTGCTTTCTGTCTCTATGTCTCTCTCTGTCTGTCTGGAGAGCGCACGCGCTCTATGGCAAAAACCTCTCTCAAAAAAAAAAAAAAAAAAAAGCCTACATCTAAATTACTGGGTACAGTTGGGAACTTTTGTAATCACACCCCTAGGAAAGATTAAAGCTACCTCCCAATCTCACTGTTTTCATTCTCTACCACTGAAGTGTGACACTTAGAACGCTCTACTGTGAACATCAAACTAAGGCAACCAAACACAAGTTGCTAATTAACTGTGGAAATAAGAACAGACCTTCAGAAATTTCTTTGTCCAGGGATTTAAGCTCTTCTTCAATTTCAGCTTTAATTTTTAATAAAACTTCTTCATCCAGAGATTGTGAAGCTACATCTAGTTGAATCCCTGAAACCAACAAGAATGTTACTATTAGATGAGGGAGAGAGAAGTCATTAGCACACGTTTTTAAAATTTTAACTTTATTTAAGTGTGTGTGTATGTATGTATGTATGTAGTTATTTATTTTAATTTGATCAGCGGGGAACAGAGTGAGAGCAAGAAAGAGGGAAAGTGAGAAAGCAAGCCACCAGGTCAGGGCTCAAACCATGGTCAGCCATGTGGGAGTCCAGCGCCCGACCCACCATGCCACCTGCCAGCCCCAGCACACATTTTAACTACTAAGTCAGAAAATATAAAGTCAAAACTTATTATTGAGGCTAGGGAGAACAGGAGATACTTTCTTAAGAAAAAGAAAACCAGAGCCAACAAGGGCCATGATTGTTAAGGTGCTGGATTCCCACATAACCACAGCAGTTCAACCCAGACCTGGTAGCTTCCTTTCTCACTTTCCTTCTCTCTCTCTGGTCAAATTAAATATTAACAGTAAATAAATAAATAAGTAAAATTGAGTAATTAAGTAATTCTTTGGTTTTTGTTTTTTTTTGTTTTGTTTTGTTTTGTTTTTTTGGGAGAGATTTTCACTGTAGTGCGTGTGCGCTTGCCAGACAGACAGAGAGCGACATAGAGACAGAAAGCGAGAAATCACCCCCCAGGGGGGATGGTCACGCCGCAATCCCTTCTCCTCCATTCTCCTTTTTGGGCCTGGTGTGTTTTTAAGCCATCAGGACTGGAGCCATGCAGTCAGTCATGTGGGATCCAGCACCTTAAAAACCACACCACTGGCTGTCCCAGCCTTGATTACCTTTCCTTTCCCTTTTTGTTTTTTTTTTTTTTTTTTTGAGAGGTTTTTGCTATAGGGCATGTGCGCTCACCAGAAAAAGAGAGAGAAACAAAGAGATAAAACAAGAAATCACCCTCTAGGGGGGATGGCCACGCTGCAATCCCTTCTCTTCCATTCTCTTCTCGGGATCTTGGGCACGCATGCACATGCACCTGGCATGAATTTAAGCCACCAGATGAGGAACTGCGGTTGACTACATGGGAGTCCAGTGATATAGCCATTATGCCAGCTGCTGGTCTCAAAATTAAGTAATTCTTAAAAAAAGAAAACATCTGGGCCAACAGTTGGTATGGTGGTTAGGATGTTGGCTACAACATGGCTGACTCTGTGTGGTTCTAGTCCTGGAACAGGCAGCTTGAAGAACACACCAGGCATGTGTGTGGGCGCGCTCAAAATCCTGAGAGAATAGAGGAAAAAAGATTGCAGTGTGGCTATCCCCTTTGGGAGGTGATTTCTTGCTTTCTCTCATTCTCTTTCTTTCTTTCTTTCTTTCTTTCTCTCTCCAGACAGCATTAGTGCCCTATGGCAAAAATTAAAAAAAAAAAAAAAAAGAAAGAAAGAAAGAGAAAATCTTTAGTAGAATTATCTATAGAGAGTGAAATCTGCTAAAAATAGAATAGAATAAACTATCTTTCTAAATGTTTCTGCCAGGAAGAGAAAAAAGTAGAACATTTAAAAACATATTAATTCACAAGGAAATTGGGAAAAGTATTACTATGCAAGAGTCCTCTCTCTTTTGGACACGATAAATTCTTTTCTTTTTTTTCAAGTTGGTAGAGAGCACGTGAGCTTGCCAGGGTGAGAGCAACAGAGGAGGAAAGGTAGAAAGCACCTCAGAATGAGGTGTGCTTATGACATAATCTCCTCCATTTCTCCCTCTTCCTGGGACGTTGGGCACGCATACTCACATGCCAAGCATATTTTCAAGTCACATGCAGGGACTGTGTCTTAGTCAACCATGTGGGAGTTATATTCCTTAACCACTAGGCTGTTGGGTCAGCCTCACAATGTATTCATAAAAAAAAATAAAATAAAAAAGTGGGGCATAGTGGTTAAGGCACTGGACTCCCACATGGCCAACCACAGTTCAAATCTTGGACCTGGAGGCTTGAAAATCATGCTGGACGTGATGCATGTCCAAAATCCCATTAGGAAAATGGAGAAGGAATTGCAATGTGGTCATCCCAAGGGGTGATTTCTCACTTTCCTTCTCTCTCCAGCAAATGCACGCACCCTATGATGAAAAATATCTTGAAAAATAAATAAATAAATAAGTGTATGAAAGCCAAATAAAATAATTCAGGTTATTTTAGTGGTGGTGAGAGATGTTCAATCCCCACACTTCGAATCATAAAGATTTTTCATTATATCTCACTTTGGTCACATTAAAAAAATAGTTTGCCGGAAGGGTACATATGCTTACCAGAGAGAGATGGGGAGAGAGAGAAGTGAAAGCAAGCGCCCCTTAATGGAGCAAAGCATGATGCAATACCTTCTCCTACATTTCTCCTTCCTGTCCAGATTTTGGACACACATCCAGTGTTTTTCAAGCTACCAGGGCTGGGACTTGAACCATGTAGCTGGCCATTTGGGACCTGGATCCTTTAACCATGAAAGCATGGGGCCTGCCCTGGATGCCTTTGTTTTAGTTTGTTATAGGGCACATGCACTCACTGAAGAGAGAGAGAAAGAAAAAGAAAGTAAGAAATCACCCCTGCGCAGGGGTGGGGGAGCATGCTGCAATCCCTTCTCCATTCTCCTCAGAATTTTGGGCACACACACACACAAGCATGTCTTTCAAGTCACTGGGTCTGGGACTTGTAAAGTTGGTCATGTGGGATCTAGCCACCTGGCTAGGCCCCACATTTTTAATGGTATACTATTAGTATTTTTCTTCTTTATAGAGCTTATTCCCTAAGGGCACATGTCCTCACCAGAGAGAGAGACAGAGACAGAGACAGTGAGAGGGAATGTGAGGAATCATCCCCCAAAGGGGATGGCCATGCTGCAATTCCTTCTCCATTCTCCTTCTGGGATCTTGGGCACACATGCACAAATGCCTAGCATGATTTTCGAACCACAGGTCCAGGACTCAAACTGCAGTTGGTTATGTGAGGGTTCAGCAATGTAACCACTATGCCATCTGCTGGCCCCACTTTTTATGAAAGGACTTCAAAAAGTCCATGAAGGGCCAGCTCCATGGCATGGAGGTTAAAGTACCCAGATACCAAGTTTGAGTCCTGGACATGGTAGCTTGAGAAACACATCACCCAGGGAACAGCAGTTGGCGTAATGGCTATGTCACTGGACTCCCATGACAGCAGTTTGAGTCCTGGACCCGGTGGCTTAAACTCACGCCAGGCGCGTGTGTGTGCATGCCCAAGATCCTGAGAGGAGAATGGAGAAGGGATTGCAGCGTGGCCATCCCCCCCTGGGGGGAGATTTCTCGCTTTCTGTCTCTATGTCTCTCTCTGTCCGGCAAGTGCACGCGCCCTATAGCAAAAATCTCTCCAAAAAAAAAAAAGAAAGAAAAAGAAAAGCACTGGACTCCCACCTCCCACATGGCTGACTGGTTTGAATCCTAGACCTGGCAACTTGCTTTCTCACTTTTCCTCTCTCTCTCACATTCTACCCCTCTCTGGTTAAATTAAACAAACAAATAAAGTTAAATAAAATTTTTTTTGTTAATTGTTTTGCATAAAATTAACTCTAATTTCACTTTCCCAGGAACTTTTGAAGTCTTCTCATATACGTTTAACAATTTTCTTTCTTTTCTTTTTTCCCCCACATTTGAACACAGCTCCAAAACACACAAGTGAAGCTAAATTTTCACCACTTTGGATATAAAGTGAGTGTGCATGCCCAAGATCCCAAGAGGAGAATGGAAAAGAAGGGATTGCAGCATGGTCATCCCCAGGGAAGGGGGGGGGTATTTCTAGCTTTCTATCTCTCTGTGGCATATACACACAACAGACTACTACACAGCCATAAGGAACAATGAGATCCTGTCACTTGACACTAAGTGGACAAACCTCAAAGATACAATGCTAAATGAAATAAGCTGGGCTAAAAGACAAACACTGTATGTCTCCACTTAACATATAACAATTCAGGACCAGAACTTGGCACATTGGCTATGTCTTTGGACTCCTATGTAGTCGACCACGGTTTGAGTCCCAGACCGTTGGCTTAAACTCATGCCAGGCACGTGTGTGCGCATGCCCAAGATCCCAAAAGGAGAATGAAGGAGAAGGGATTGCAGCGTGGCCATCACCCCTCAGGGGTGATTTCTCGCTTTCTGTCTCTCTGTCTCTCTGGCAAGTGCACACACCCTATAGCAAAAACCTCTCAAAAAAAATTATAATGTATGTATGTGTATATGTATGTATATATATACACACACACACACACAACCAATTGTCCACACTCCAGAACATAAACATAGAGATGGTAATGGTAGATACCAAAAGCTGCTTGGGAGAAGGTTTATTGCTTTAGAGTACACGTGCTTGCCAGAGAGAGGGACAGAGGAGGAAGGGGAAATGAGAAATCACCTCCCAGGGAGGATGGCCACACCTCAATCCCTTCTCTTCTCCATTCTTCTCTCAAGAGTCTGGGCAAGCATACACACATGCCGGATATAATTTTTAAGCCGCTAGGTCAGAGTCTCAAACTGCAGAGTCAGCTATGTGGGATTTAGCCACCGCAACCTCCACACCATCAGCTGGTTCCCTGAGAAAATTTTCAGTGGACACAAGAATGCATGTAAGGGCCAGCCCCATGGCCTGGTGAGTAAGGGAGCAAGATTCCATATGGCCGACTGCATTTCAACCCCAGCCTCAATAGCTTGAAAACAGGCATGTGGGGTACATGTGCCACAGATCCCAACAGGATGGAGAAATGGAAAGGGGACTACAGCATGACCACATCCCAACTGAGGTGCTTTCTTCCTGTCTCTCCCCGGCGAGAACGTGCATTATGTCACAAATAAAATAAATAAATAAATAAATAAAGGAATGCCTGTAAAAAAGGTAAAGAGGTTATAGATGGTATATTGCACAGAGTGAAAAATATGGATAACTTAATGCATATTTCAAAAAATCTACATTATCAGCTGTGCACAATTTAACATACTGTTTCATGTCAAAGATGAATATATATATAT